TAAATAGGCCTACCAACTGAAAGGTCAGCAGTTTTAACCTACCAGCCTCTTTGTAGGAGAAAGATAAGGCAGGCTGCTTCTATAAAGATTACAGCCTTGGAAACCCTATGAGGGCAGTTCTACTCTGTCCTGTAGAGTGGCTATAAGTTGGAATTGACTTGGCGACAATGGATTTGATTTGGTTTTTGTTATGTGCTGACAGGTTTAAATATCTTGGAATTTGATTTAATAGAATTGTGTGCATTTTCAGTGCTTTTTTCCATGTGTCATTTTAGAATCAATAAAAACAAAGCCACATTTGAGATGCCTAGGCTCATGCCTAGGATCTCTGGTAGCATAGTGGCTAAGGCACTTGACTGCTAACCAGAAAGCTGGTGGTTCAAACCCACCAGCCACTCCCCAGAAGGAAGATGGGGCAATCTACTTCTGTAGTGATACTGCCTTGGAAACCCAAGGAGGGGTCGCTATGAGTCGGGTCCAACTGGACAGCACAAAACAACAACAACAACAGGCTCATGCCTGGCTTCCAATGCTACCACTTGGAAAGAGATAAAAATTGGAGATCTTGATTAGAGTGGAAGGGAAAATGTAGAACAAAATTCTAAAATACAAAAATGACCAGAATTACTGATTGGATAGAGACTGGTGGAACCCTTGAGACTATGGCCCTACATTGTTCTTCAGGCCTAGAAATGGACTCATTTCCCTGGATTGGCTCTCAGCCCAACAGTAGAAAGACCTGCATGCAGAACACCTACCCTGGGGAGATGCACCCAGAGGCACCCTTTAGTTCAATCAACCTTGAGACATTAGAGCAGTAGCATTCACATAGAGAGAAAACTGGACAGACAGGAATACACAGACAAGAAGAGTTCAGGGAAGGGATAGTTACAGGGAAAAGAGGGGAGGAGAGTTTTTTTTATGGTTCGAGATGGTAATTGGGACCATGAAATCAAATATGCATGAACTACTGAATGTAAAACAAATCTGCTTTGTCAGGGGAGCTGTTGCATTGTGATAAATTGTAGTTAATGTCATGAGAAAAAGTATGTGAGCTGCTGTATGGAAAGTGAATTTGCTTTGTAAACTTTCACCCAAATCACAATAAATAAATAGAACAAAAACAAATCTGCTTTGTAAATTCACACCTAAAGCACAATTTAAAAAAAGAAGAAGAAGAAGAAAAGAGAGAGAGAGAAAGGGAGAGAGAGAGAGGGAGGGTGAGAAGGTGAGGGAGAGAAAGAGATATGCTTTAGGCTCAAAAGAAAGATGCAAAAAGCTGATCCTATTAGCTTAACTCTCTCCCCACTCACTATTTGCTGTTACTTCCTTTAATCCCGTATGTCAACCCAGGTCAAATTGTGTCTTCATTGACTTAACTTTTTTTTTTTTTCCTGCAGTGTTACTTATAATTTCTCTTTTTTGTGATATGTTTCTTTATCCCTTTTTACAAGACTTCCTCTCCATCTACTTCTTAACTCCATTTAATACTATGCATTTTATCTTCCCAGGACCAAATTTATCAATGTTCCTATTTGAAATTGCTAATAGTTTTATTAATTTTATGCACAGAAACAGAATTTTCTAATACTCTTTGTCCATTGACTCTCAAAACAAGCTTAGTTCATTTTACATTGTGTTCTGATAGGCTTTTTTTTTCTAATAAGCAATCATTTGTCTTGTACCAGATCTTCACATCACATTTTTATCCCATTTAGGTACTCAGTCAATGCATTTGAAATCTGGCCTCTAATAAAATTTAACTTAGAGAAGATTATCCCACTGCTCTGAGTCTCTCTTTAGATATCAGTATAATGTTAGACTTCCCCTGCTGCCTAACTCATTTATTCATTCCTTTGCCTTCAGGTATTATTTCTTCTTCCTTCCATTTGTTGTTTATTTTTACTCAAACTTTTACACCTTGGGAAGGGACATCAGGTTTAGCTGTTGTGCCAGTCCCGATTGCTGGTAGCAAGACCAGTTTATCAAGTGCTTCCCCCTCAATTCACTCTCATTCATGTTGGGTGGGGTTACATAGGTATAACATTAGTGGGCTTTCTTTACCAATAGGAATTTCAGCAGTATTCACTGTCAATCCCAATTTTGCTACATGGGGAAAAAGTATAATCCATCCCAACAGACCCTTGGGAATTCTGGCATATAACTTCAGGGGAATAGTTATAGTTTCTTGCTTAAGAATCACCCCTGCCTCCAGCACCCACAGCTGCATCCCTGGGCCTGGGACCATAGCTTCTGACAGGAAACAAGCAATTTCAGATGATGTGGAGAATTGTACAGTGGCACCAGCATCCTTCCCAGTCCCCTCTTCCCCAAGTACCCAGAGAAACGTAGGCATCTGTCCAGTGGTGATCCTCCCTTTACTCTACTTATGTTGAGTGTGGCACATATTCATGAAGACATGAATTTTAGATGACACATGTTTCAATTACCCATTCCAATTCTCGATCAAACCATTACTCTGAGGATGGCATGCAACATATGTCCATTTAATATGATGTTTCTTGGCCTATTGCTGTACCCTGTGGGCTGAAAACTATGTTCCTTCGTCTGAGGAAATATAACTTAAATATAACTTGGTGGTCCATATTGGTACAGTGTCTTTTTTTCCAATCCATTAATGGTGTATTTGGCATTTTCATTTGTCACAGAATATGTAAAGCCCAGTTCAGAGTAAGTATCCATTCCCGTGAGGACCCATTTGTAGCCAGCTGGTGTGACTGGCATCATTGGCCCAGTGTAACCAACTTGCCAGTTATGTGCAGGGCCTTTCCACTGGGGAATCTGCCCCAAGCCTTCTGCAACCTCTGTGTTAATTGCTGACAGACAGAGCAGTCTTTATTGGCATTTTGTGCCTTAGAGGGTACAAGAGGGATGTGTCTAGATTCAGCCCATCTCTGTATTGCTGCAGCACCCTTACATACATTAATTTCATAGATCCAATTGGCTGCCTCAAGAGAGTGTACCAACACATCCAGTTGTTGGTTCTAATCACTTTCCAATCCAGGAAGGTGATTTTTCCAATAGGCATTGACGTGGCCTACCCTAATGCTCCTTCTAAA